TTCTAGGATGTTTAGGCCCCGGCACTAATATCGACAGGAACAAAAACTCTCTATTCATGCACATGTCCGGAGGCAAATTGTACGGTGTCAGAATCACCGGCCACAGAGAGTAATTCGGACCAGACATTCCAAATGGATTAAACCCATCCGTACATAATGCTAAATAATATTTAAACTCTAACCTGTTATATTATTTTAAATACAAAAATTACCTCGAGATACAAGCTGTTGATTTCCTGCGGAGTCAATTGCGTTGAACCGCTGCTCTCGTCCATCGTCATTCGATCGGTAATCTTCGATTGAATGACCTCTTCAATTTCTTGGGCACGATGATCTACGTACGTCCCATCCGATCGACGATGCGTGTCTTGTAAGACGCGCAGAGCAGACGGTTGAACGTCTTCTTTCTCGGCCTAAAAAAGTTATACAAAAATATTAGTAAAATTAAAAAACAAATAAATCAATTTTCACAAAATACTTACAATATTGAGAGCAACTTTAGCAAACGATCTTCTCCCCGCAGTATGAGTTCCTGGGGCTCGGTCGGAAGCAGACTTCGCCTTTCGATTCGTCGACGCGATCCGACTCTTCTCTTGAGATTCCTCTGAATCCCATATTACCTCCAGTTGCGCCCAGATGTCTAAACTAATCCAGTCCGGCTTCTTCCGCAAGAATTTCAACCTATAAAGGTTATCTCGCAATCTCGCACCGAGACAATCCTTCCACGCACGATGGACGACATCATGCACAGAAGGATCCCAGTAATAAGATTGCTTTAAACAATATGTGTTAGTTATTTAATACTAAAAAAGATATATTAAACAAAAAACAAACAAGTTAAGACAATACCGCAAAAGCAACAAACCATCGTGCCAAGACATCTTGCGGGACCCGAGAGATGCTACGCCACGGGCCATGATAATCAGAACGGTAGATCGTTTTGATACTCTCTTTAATCTTGCTCAGTTCTTCATCAGATATTTGATGACCATAAGTATTATATACTTCATCATCATAAACCCTGACACATACAGTAAAAATATTATTTACGTAGGAGAGTATATATATTCTCTCTATACAGTAATTTGTGTAATGTACTAACCTCTCAAACGGTAGAATATATTCACAATTCAACAATACGTAGGTATGAATGACATGGTAATCTCTGTCAGATAGATATGAATCTGTCGATTTACCACCACATCGCCCTTTTCTGTAGTAAATCTGAGGTATGTCTACATGCATCGAATAAGAGGGTCCATCATCGCACTGGAATGACCGATTCTGACTTCTGTTCTTTGTCAAAACATGATCTTCAAAGTAGTATGATGTGAAGAATGATATCTCCTCATTTATATATTGTTCAGCGATTGATCCTTCCACAAAAGCCTTTTGTTTCGCCTTTTTCTTCAAATGGTACATGAACCGTTCGAACGGATACATCCATCTAAATATACAGAAAAATAATCATTTCAAATACAAATATGAATTATTAATTTATTCATGTATATTAAATAATTAAACAAAAATATATACCTAAATTGAATTGGTCCCCCTAATTCAGCTTCTCGTGGTAGGTGGATCGGTAAATGTTCCATGACATCGAAAAAGGATGGTGGAAATAACTTCTCTAGATTGCACAAGACTAAACTGATATTTTGCTTCAAGATCTCGACATCTTCAACTCGTAACATCCGACTACATAACTCGTGGAAGAATATGCCGATTCCTAAAAGATAAATCAAAATAAAAAAATTATGTGGAAGTATAATCGTAATATAAAAAATAATATATAGATATATCTATAAAAAATGCTTCAGTAATTAATTAATTCAAACCTGATAAAGCTTCGTGTACATTCTGTGGAAATATATCGGCAAAGGCAATAGGAAGTAAGCACTGCATGAAGACGTGGCAATCATGACTTTTCATACCTATCAATTTATTTCCTTCCATATCAACACATCGAGAGATGTTTGAAGAATATCCATCTGGAAATTTCACATCTTCTTTCAACCATTTGAAGAAGTTTCTCTGAGCTTCTCCAGAAACCCGAAATATCAGGATGGGTGCCTTTCCATCCGATGTCAACTCTAGTTCTTTCCGCGAGCAAATTAATTTCAGATCCTTTCTTGAATTGACATTGTCCTTTGATCTTCTGGGAACATTCAGTACCGTATTAATGATGTTATCGAAAAAATTCTTTTCAATATGCATAACATCAAGATTGTGTCGTAACTTATGATGTCTCCAGTAAGGCAATTCCCAAAATATACTTTTTTTTGTGCCAGTTGTGAAAATTACCATACCCTTCTATCTGCAAATGGCCATTCCCGCCAACGTCTGTTGTTTTTGCTAATCCATATGAACTCACACAATCTTCCAGTCTTTCAAATAGTATTTCATCACCTGTAAGCTCAAGCGGAGCAGTGTCATTTACGACCCTATTCTTACGAAAATTCTTCTTGTTACGCCGTAACACATGATTGCTCGGGAGAAAACGACGATGACAATCAAACCAGCACATCTTTCTCCCGTTCTGCAACCAAAATGAATCAGTCTCATCCGTGCAATAAGGACAAGCTGGCCGCCCATGTGTTGTCCAGCCAGACAACATTGAATACGCTGGAAAATCACTGATGGTCCACATAAATACGGCACGAAGTAAGAAATTTTGCATAATCGACACATCATATGCCTCGACACCAATGAGCCACAAATTGGTCAACTCTTCAATAAGCGGTTGAAGAAACACATCTAGACTTTTTCTAGGATGTTTAGGCCCCGGCACTAATATCGACAGGAACAAAAACTCTCTATTCATGCACATGTCCGGAGGCAAATTGTACGGTGTCAGAATCACCGGCCACAGAGAGTAATTCGGACCAGACATTCCAAATGGATTAAACCCATCCGTACATAATGCTAAATATACATTTCTAGACTCGCTTGCGAAATCAGGAAATACCTGTTGAAAATGTTTCCAAGCCAATCCATCAGATGGATGATGCATTTCTCCTTCTGGAGTACAATGTTCCGCGTGCCAGCGCATATGTGATGCAGTCTTCTCGGATTGATATAACCGCTTTAATCGATCCGTTAATGGCATATAAAACATTCTTTTAAAAGGAATTAACTTGCCTTTTTTTGAAGATTTCCGTCGTGGTCGGTATCTGTCTTTGTTACAGAACCGACATTGCATCAGATCTGAATCGTCTTTCCAGAAAATCATACAGTTGTTCTCGCACACATCAATCTTCTGATACGGTAAACCCAACGTCCGCATTAAACTCTTAGTTTCATAATAAGATTCAGGTGCAGTGTTACCTTCTGGGAGATAATGTTTAAACATCTGGGTGAAACCGTCCATACACCTTTCTGGAAGATTATAATCTGTCTTCATATTCATCAACTGTGAAGATAATGATAACCTTGAAAGACCTTCGACGCATCCATCGTATATCGCCGTATTCGCCGTATGAAGCATACCATAAAACCTTTTTGCTTCTACGTTGGGTTCCTCCTCCATGTGGGGCGATGGAACGATGTTGGGAAATGCATCACTCACCATTTCCGTGTATGGATTCCTTATTTCTTCTCCAAATGTCATCTCCGACGTCGTATTATTGATTTCTTCATATCCAACCATATGTACATCTTGTGATGATGATGTATCATAGGTTTCTCCATGTGCAAGCCAAACAAAAAAATTCGGCATGAAACCTTTACGATATAAGTGATTTCACACTTCATTCAAACTCTGCCATTTTTTATTCTGGCACTTTACACACGGACAAGGCAGCTTTTCGCTCTCCAAATAC